TAATTGGTTATTCAGATGCAGGTTACAGGTCTGATCCCCACACCGAGAAATCACAAACCGGATTTGTGTTTACATTCGGTGGTACGGCCATCTCCTGGAGGTCTGTCAAGCAAACCACTGTAGCAATCTCATCCAACCATTCCGAACTCCTCGCGATCCATGAAACCAGCAAAGAATGTGTTTGGCTTCGTTCTGTCATTCAGCACATCTTAGTGTCTACCGGCCTGAAGACTGGTGAATCTCATCCAACCATTCCGAACTCCTCACGATCCATGAAACCAGCAAAGAATGTGTTTGGCTTCGTTCTGTCATTCAGCACATCTTAGTGTCTACCGGCCTGAAGACTGGTGACCTTGAGCCAACTACCATATTTGAAGACAATGCAGCATGCGTTTCTCAACTTCAGTCTGGCTTCATCAAGGGTGACAAGACGAAGCACATATCTCCCAAGTTTTTCTGGACGCACGATCTTCAAGAGGAGGAGCAAGTTAAAGTACAGCAGATCCAATCATGTAATAATTTAGCTGACTTGTTCACTAAGACTCTGCCTAGATGTACTTTTGTAAAACTTGTAAAAGGAATAGGGATGAGACATCTGAAAGACCTACAAGCCTGAAGCTTGTATGGTTCAGTGGGAGTAACCTATGGGTTGTACTCTTTTTCCTTAGGCTGATGGTTTTTTCCCACTGGGTTTTCCACAGCTAAGGTTTTAACGAGGCAAACAAGTTTACTCTGGATCCAGAAGTATCCACCCCATTAGCTTTACGAAGAGATGTGGGAGGCCTTTGGCCTCCCCCTCATTATCCCTCCATTCACACCCCATTATGATGGTGTAACACCCCATTAAGTGGGGGTGACTCTTGGGTACTCAACCTATTCACATTGACTATCTATAAATATACATCATAGGCCTTTGGCCTAGGTAAGGGTTTCAAACAATTTATAATTTCTTTATATTCTATAACTACACTTAACATTGCATAGGTGGAATTCCATCTATGGTCAACATCTTTTGGAATTAGTCTAGCCTTAATATTTTTTCTTTTACACATTTGTTTCCATCTTTTAAGTCTTTGTTCAGAAGCAATATGCATAAAAGCAACTGTTCTAATCTTTTTTATCATGGGTTTAATTTCAGTAAATGCACTTTGAATAATTAAATTTAAAATATGGCATATACATCTAATATGAAAAAGTTCACCATGACAGGACAGGGTTATTTTGAGAAAATCTATAGCTACATTGTTATTACTTGTATTATCTAGTGAAAGAGAAAATATTCTTTGATCAATTTCTAGTTTCATAAGTTCTTCAACTATTAAATTGGCTACATTAATACCAGTATGTGACTCTTCAATTGTAATAAAAGAAACAACTCTTTTAAACATTTGCTAATTTTTATCAATCCAGTGTGCTGCGATACATGAATAACATATTTGTGCTCTAGATATCCAAATATCAGAAGTTAAAAAAAAATTATAGTTTAAATTTTTAAAATAAGAAATTATTTTTTCTTGTTCCGTTTGATAATGTTTTAAAATATCACGTTGACAGGTTTGACGAGAAATTTTTTTAAAATCGGGATAAAAACCATCTCTAAACAAATCTTCAAATTCATCATCTTCTACTAATTTAAAAGGAAGGTTTTTAAGAATGATAAACCTGATGACGCATTTCCTGGCTCGGGCAGCATCATAATTCCAAGTACCGAGACTACCAGAAGAGGATGATTGGAAAATCATAGATTGTCGGATATCACCTTGAGGAGTCTGGCATTTGTTGTGTTTTTCTATATGACGTTTGAGGTGGTTGGTGCCGTTCTTATGATGAGCTTGGAAAGTCCGGCCGCACAACGCATATTTAGCCTTCTAGGTGAGGATCCCACCATGTTCATCCTTGGTGACGTCTATCTTCTCAAAAAAATTCCACGCATCGGATCTCCGACTTTTAGGAGCTCTTGGTATAGATTCGTCACCACCGGATTCGGGATTATCACTGGTAGGATCGGTAGGAGGAGTAGCTGTTGTTGTAGGAGGACTCATTTCAACATCGGTAGGAGATAGATTTTACTCTTCATAATCAGATCCAGACGCCATTTGATGAAAGGATTAGAAAGTATAAGAGATTATAAGAGAGTATAAGATTGTATAAGAGAGTATTAGAGATAAGTAGATGAGTTTTGGTATGAGGAGAATAAGTAAAAACCCCCCTCTATTTATAGAGGTAGCCTCCTAGGTAAATGATCAAAAAATCGTCATCAAATAGTCGTTTTTTGACCGTTTTAAGGGGTAAAACAGTCAAAATGCAAATATAGTCATTTTGGCCGGGCCGGGCCGATGTGACCGTTTGGAGAAAACGGTCACCCTTGGTGACCATTTTTGGGTGACCGTTTTCGCCGGGCTGGGCCGGGTTGGCATATTTGCCCGAAACGGTCTGGCCGGGCTTCGGGTCTGGGCCTCCCAGCCCGGTTTCGTTGCCGGGTGAAAGAAACTATTACCGAGGTCGGGCGCGTCCGGGCCGAGCAACAAGCGTGGGACCCCGGGCCCGGACCCGGGTCTGGCCCGGGTTTTTGGGCCGACCCCGGGCCGAGCCGGGTTCCGGGCCGGACCCGGGCCGGCGGGCTTTTTTGACAGGGCTAATAACAACGCATGTATGCTTTGACAGCCATAAGATTTAGTGTTTCTTGGCAAGTGGCAACTACTATCAGCTCCAATAGTATTTGATGGTGGTGAAATTTAGGTCCCTTTATATGTTATCTATTTGCACCTACGCATAGCTTACTTGTGTCAGATGCAAGGGAGTATGTTCCTTTCTGATTCATTTGGATGTTTTTTCTAGCTAACTAAATTCACGTGTAACTGCTCCATCATAGTAGATTCAGACGGGTCCCAATTAAAAGATCATTTATGCCTTAGAGCTGACCAAGAGGCTTTTCAACAATATGTAGGAGAAATTTTAGTAAGTCAAGGAGTTGTACAAGAGTTGAGAAAAGGAAAAAGGAATCAAACTTCCTAGTCTTCACAATAAGATAATTGGTTTTTGTTGGGAATTTAACGCCTAAATCCACTAATGCAACAGAAACGCAGTATAGAGAACAGTACACCAAGA